CCGTCCCCCCCCCCCCCCCCCCCCCCCCCCGCCCGAGCGGGGCCAGCCGCTTCGCTTTTAGGATGCGGGGCTTGCAGCGGGGCTGGGAGCGCCTTACCTGCCGCCCTGCCCCCGCCGCCCCCCCGGCTGCCCCGCTCCTGGGGGTGGAGGCAGCGACCTGGAAGTTGGGAAGCGCTGCAAAGGCAGGGGGGCTGCTGAACTGTCAAGCTCGGGTGCAATTAGGGGGGAAAAAAAACCCCCATCTCTCTCTCTCTCTCGCCATACCTGTACATCCTGAGCGCTTTTTGAGTGGGAAGGGAAGGATGGCATTCACAGGGAAAATTCCCAGCTCCTTCTCTCGGCACCCACAGTGAAAATTGTTTACTTACGGGTCTGAGCCTAGACCCTCCTACCGCTGGGACATTTCTAAGAGGGGATTTTGCTTGGGGAAAAAAAAAATCAATGATCTCAGCCTTTCTCCCAGGGGTAAGGAGCCCGGCTCTTAGGAATGGTGTTTGACCTTTAAGCATTTATTGGCTACTGAGGTTAAAATAAGCTTGAGATAGAAGTAAAAATAGCTTGCAGAAAGGTTAAATCAAAGGTTAAATTTGTTTTTCCTAGGAAAATTGAGGCTGATGTCCAAAAATGAAGGCTTGGAGCAAAGGATGGGAGGGTACACGTTAGGTCTGTAGGCAGGGAAACGCAATTCATTTGAAGTATTGGTGGCTGCCGGTAGTGTTTGACGCCAAGTTCTGAAAGTTGGTGGATGGGTGGTCCTCAAACGAAGGTATTTTAAATCAGGTCTGGTCTTTGCCTTTCTCTGGGTATTTGGTACAAAGTTTGGAGTGCCCATAGCTCCTGTTGATTTTCCTCTGAGTTGGGGATGCTCAGAGACCTGCGGGATGGGGCAGCCGGCTGCGGGCTAAGAGCCGTGCCCTGTGTCCCTGCCCTTGCCCTGCGTCCCTGCCAGCTCCCTCCCGCCCGAAGGCAGGGGTGGCCCCGAGTGCCCGCAGTAACCTTTCTGGTTACCTGTGCTCTTGTCTGGGCTTGCCGAAGAAAAAACGGATAATTAGAGGGTAACAAGTCAGAAGAGGCAAGCAAAGTTATAAATGTGAGTAGTAAAGAAAACAAATCCCCTTGTAGATGTGGAAAAAGGCAAAGCACAGGAAGTAAACGAGGGCTTGTTTTGTTTTAAATTTAAATGAGATTAAATTTTGCCCCAGGGGACCAAGACAGCAAGCAGAGTTGCTGTGGAGGAGAGGAGGAATGGCTCTCTCTTCACCTGGGCGGTTGAGTTTTTGCTGAAGACGTTGGAGCCGACAGCAGGCTGTGGAGGCGGCGGAGGGGCAGCCGAGCCCCGGCTGGCAGGGGCAGGCTCCCGCTGCCCAGAAAATGGAGTGTTCCTGGGTACCAGGACCGTAGCTTTCTGGATTTACGCTTTGCAGGGTTACCAGGGAGGTTAAGGAAAGAGCGGCGCGGCTTCCCCTGAGATGTAAAGGGCTGTGCACCAAGATTTGCTGACGGTCTGTTGGCACAGCCAATGCGCATCCTTCGGTTGAAAAGTTTGTTCTTCTGTTATTGTGAAATTGGGGCTGTGCCTGCGTCGGGGGGTGCTGCTGCTCTCCCAGAGCCTCCTATAGCAGCGCTTGACTCCAGAATTGTTAATGAGAAAAGGCAATCCGATGAGGACAACCCTCCCACGGTATAAAAGCTGGGACCTTCCAGCCCTCCACCCTTCTTCTTATACTTTCTAACAACCTGCTGGTATTCCTAGACAGAGCAAAGAAATAGTTAACGCAGAGGGGAAGCATTGGTGAGCTGCCCCTCGACTCCACGTCACCCGCCCGGGCACAGGCAATGGGACAGGGGGTCTGGGACCGGGGGTCCATGGGAGCGGGGGTCCGGGCTGGCCGGAGCGGTGTGCATGCCGCTGGGGGCACTATTTTCTGTTTGTGTTCCTATTTGTGTGCTGGAAGAACAAACAGGGAAGTGGTTTTTCTGCAGTCTCATTGCAGCTCACAAACACAGCACAGAATTCAGCCGGTGTTGCTCAACTGTCACAGCGTCAGAGGCGACGGCGCAGGGGGACCGAGCGCGGTGCATCCCTTAACGTGCGGATGAGCGCTGGGAAGAGGTGATGACCAAATACTCTTTTTTTTTTTTTTTTTTTTCCTGCAACTTCTGCAGGTTTCTGTGCCTGTTCCCTGTGTGCACAGGCATGTATAAATTTCTCTAGGCTGCTTGCTACAATCCAGAATGGTTCATTCTTGCAAACAGCCCCTGCGCATGGTGCTGTGATGCCACCAGGAGCTCCAAATCCCACGTGGACTTGATGTTTGCAGGGAGCTGGGGAACGTCAGCGGATTCCCCCGGAGCACGAGGATCTTGGAGGGGTTCGCGGAGGGCGAGGAGTTCGTCGGAAGCAGTTGTTTGCTGGCTGAAGGCTGAACGAGGCGTTTTGGTTTAGCGTGCATGGGAGCATGCATGCGGGGAGGAGTGCCCAGGTGGGACAGGAGCTCGGGATCTGGGCACTGGCATCTCTCTGTGGGAAGAGTACTGCTGCCTTCACTTCTCCCAGGTTGCATGGGCTGGGCAAAATTGCATCTCCAAAAGCTCCTCTTCAACCCTCCCCTGCTGTGAGGCAGGACCAGGCAGCCCGAGGCCATCATCTCAATTTTACCCCCAATCCTGCGGCTAATTTGTCCAAGGCCCTAGTGATTTACATTTGTTTAGGCTGATGGAGGGCCATCATCTTCCTTGGCTTAGCATTTATCTGCCTTTCTTAGCTTGAACAAAGGCAATGCTGAACATGTGTTAGTTTGTAAGCAATTCCGTTTTCGGGTTTCCAGGCATTAACGCAGGACTATGCCTGTGGATTTGAGTTGCAGACACTTCAGGGGGATGTTCATTTGTTTATAAAAGAAACCCACATCTGTTTCTGTTTGAAATTTTTAAGCAAGCATACATAGAAACCTTTCTCTTGGTTTCTGGCTCTGTAAAAGCTAGATTTTGGGCCAAGTTTGACCTAACGGTGACCTTTTCAAAGTATTACAAATTTTTTTGGTATTTGTTTATGACTTTAATAATGATGCCATGCGGGGAATGGGTCAGTTAAAGGTGAAATTAGCTTCTAATGTAAACAAAGGATGAATTTTGGAGCAGAGACCGTGTTTTGTGGAGGCTTCAAATTGCTTAGTAGTACACCAGCTGAATTGCTCCGTGCGAGGCTCGTCAGGGCCGGAGCTCCGGCCCTGGGAGCGGGAGGGATGTGGGCAATGGGTCCCCCCCCGCGCTGGATGCCGGAGGGGTGTCGGGCGCCGATGGCTCGGCCCAGCCACCATCAGACTTTATAACCCTGTGCTCCAGATGGGGAAATGGCCCAATTACCCTTCTTCTACAGTAAATTCCTCTGTTAAGTACCATGCGGTTTACTACTGCTTGGCAGATGAGTCCCTCAGAAAACAGCATCTTCTTAACACTGCCTGGAATTTAACCCTTTTCTGAAAAGGTCTAGCTGAGTCCTGGGGTTTTGGCCCCGAATTTTCCTTCCTTCAGGCACACAGTAACTTGTGGGCCATTGTGTGCCATCCTCTACCCAGGCAGTGGTTGCCTTTCAGTGCTGCTGTGTTCAGAGATGTCCGCGCTTGGCTCAAGCCAGAATTTCATTCAGAGCAATTGAAATGCAGTTTGGTTCGGAGGATGCTGTCTTGGATCCTGCCAAACAGCGGCAAAATGATTTACTGAAGCAGAGCCACTATTTTACCTGCAATGTGAACCACTTCTGTATGTGAATATCAATTCATACTGTTACATAGTGAGCCTGCAAAAGTGTGTTGTGTAGGTAGGTGTAGGGCAGGAGCGGGATGCGGGGACCAAGTTCAGTTAAAGGGATGATCAGTGCATCTTCTCACATATATATCAGAGCCAAAACCAGTCCCAGCATCCTGACACCTGTGCTGTGCATTAATCATACGCCTTTTTCCCTCCCTTGGAAGGAGAGTGATGTCAATGACACTGTCTTGCTGTAAAGGCAAAGATGGGGAAACACTGGAAATCTCCCTGGCTGTCAGTAGCATTCCTTTGCTTCAGCTCAGGTGTTTCTTTCCCCATTGACTTTGGCTTATTTAATCTCTGTGACTAGGAAGTCCAGAATCAATAAAAGCATAGCTCCAGCTTTGTGCTCCAAAAGTCTGTTTGCCACTTCAGACCAGTAGGAACCAGTTTAAAACGTTCGGGTAGAATTTCCACTAAAAGCAAGTAAATTGCAGTTAGAGCTGTCTTCAATATCATTTTCCCCAAGCAAAATCTAATGGCTCCTTGGAACAAGGCTGGTTTAATAACATCTGTTTCCCCTTGAATCACTGGGGGAAAGTATTGATATTGCCATATTCTCAAGGAACATTTTTAATCATGTTTTGACAGGGCAATGCCTTACCACAACACTGATAGTTAAAATGTTTAAGATACTTTGTAGTATTATCCCTTATAATGGTGTGATAGAACATAGCACATATATTGTAAAATACAGGCATTGTAAGGGTTTTATATGCTTATGTGGAACTTTTCCTGTTGTTTGGGGGGAAATGGCGTGCTCTAGCCTGCTGTCCAGTCCGTGTGCTGCTATACCTGCTGCAACCGAACCACACAAAGCCAGTGTTTTATTATCTTTCCCACTTATCATTTGCGGAAGCGGTAGTGTATGTGCCGTCTTAACATCCCTGGAGTCTTACAAAATATCTCAGAAAGTACGAGGAAGATTTCCACGAGATTAACGTTGTTTTCTGCGGGTGTATTTTAGCTCACAGCCTGTTGGATAGTTGTTGGGTCCATGGGTAGCATTTTGCAACCAGAGCTCCCAAAGCCCTGTACTGGGAGCCCCGTTGATCAGCCACCAGCC